ATTATTAGCGGTGTTATTGAGCCAGCTGAATGCTCAGTTGAATGGAGTTGTACAGCTTAGTGGATAAGACAACCAGATTTTTAAATGGCATTTATAGTGTAAGTATTGTCTATTTCGTTATTCAAATAACTCAAGTTTTTGTTTGATTTCAAATCAATGCCATTCCAGTCATAATACGTCTGCTTTTGGTTGAAGAGAATAGATTTTTTTTTTTTTAAAGCGGCTTAAGTACTCTCTAAAGGTCTGTACCATTTCTTTAACAACTATTTTATAACTATTTTTTATCGGAATGTAATTAACGTTTGTGTAAATTTATCCTTCGATTTTTTTAGTATGGTGTTCAATTCTGTGTATTTAGTTAAAACCTTGTGAGTGTCCCTTTTCATGCATTTTTTAGTGGTTCAATAAAGTGAACAATAAAAAGCTCACCTGCTGCCTTTTTGCTTTCGCTTTATATCCAAACTTGGAATATTTTTCATGCTAGATTAAGATTTGTTAATCAAATATCACAAATTACGAAAACAAATATAAAAAAATATATAGGCCTACATTCGGGTCCGGGTAAAAAACTTATTTTAAATATACTGTAGTCTTGTTTACTCGAAGGTAGCAAAGGGCAGGGTGGCAAGGGCCTAGTTGGTAAAAGCCCGGGTGGCAAGGGGCTTCGGTGTAACAGGCCTAGGTTGGTATAAGGCCGGGTGGCAATGGCTGTGTGGCAATGTGCCTAGCTTGGCAAAAAGCCGTAGGGCAAAGGGCCAGGTAACAACGGGCCCTATGGCAACGGCCCGAAAACCCCAAAATCGTATTATTATTAGATTTTTTTAAAAGCTAGGTTCCGGGGGAAAGCAATCACAACTAGGGTGTTTGACGAAAAAACTCTAAAACGGTTGATGAGATACACATATTTTTAAATATTTAAAAACTGGGGAAAAGGGGGAAAAAGAGGCTTTTGCGTCCCTTTTCCCTCCAGATTTTAAATATTCAAAACTGTGTATCTTATTAGCCGTTCCAAGTTTTTCAGCTGTAAAAACATATTAAAAAATAATTGTCTGGAGCCAGGATTTAAGTCTTCAATCATTTTATTTTTATTTATTTTATTTTTTTTTATGTATGAAAGTATTCACAGTTAGATTTAGATGGACGATATCGGCAACATACTTTTAGTTATTCTGTGTCATGACTGTGGTACGATATGATTAGTAGGATTGTAATACCAGTACAAAAATACGTTAAGATTAACAAATGGATTGATCAGCAAGAACTAATAAAATCTCTGTTACAAAAAATATAGATGAAATATACGTAGACAAAATATCTCTTAAAAATTGATGAAATTATTCCACCATATTTACAATTTTGGATATTGGCGCGTAAAAATAGTTTGTTTTTATAATTATAAATCAATAATTTAAATTGCCAACGATCCTTCATAATGAACGTAATGAACATAATCACTAGTAGTATTTTGAAATGTTTAAAATATATTAAAAAAATAAACAACTACATTTAAACCAGTCCCCGGGCTGAGCTTTAGGGTGCTATTGTCCAACTAATAATGGTAACAATATTTGATGTGACTTCCGTCGGGTTCAAGTAGGCCTATACTTTGTTTTCCGAATGTCATATTTTTAATTACAACTTGTCAAAAAACGACGTTGGGTGGGTGTCTCTCTTCTCTTTTCGCAGGCGTGCGTATTAGTGATATGTGTAAAAACACTAGCCTAGAATTTGATGCGCGATATGTACAAGCAGAATTGGTCTTTTGCACACGAACCTAAAAAATAGCTTTTCATTACTGTAGTTCACGGTTGGGGATTGGAAAATACCATTGGGAGTTGCAGTGATGACGTCACAATTGACTTATAATTCACAAATATATGACAATCATAAAATGTCATAAAATATGTACCGTATAATAAGAAATGTATGAATGTTTCAATCAATCATGATTATCAATTAATTTTATGGCTTTTGCTAAAACTGACTGTGGATTTTCTTTGGCGTTTATAGATAAAACAATTATCCTAAATAAATACAACATTTATTTCTATTACATTTCTTTACAGTTGCTGCAGATTGCAACGAACGTTGCAATAATTGGACAGCAGCGGATGCCAATTTTGGTCAGACATGTTACTCTAAACTTGAGTGGAGTTCATTTAGCGTCGACTCACCACCGAGTAAATGTTATCTGAAGCCTGTTACCAAAAGTAATGATGAATTACGCCTTCAACGAACGGACACAAGTTTGTACCATTTGGAGGTAATGTATGCAAGTCCAATACAATTTTTTCTCTGCACTACATGGTTGCGTTTTTATCGATCTGTCATCTACGAATATACCATTTATATTCAGCCATTTATTTAAGGATTAGTCATTAAAATATAAATTCACACTACACATATATTCAACCACTAAACTATCCGCCATTCATCCATCCATCAAACTACCCATCAAACGTTTGTGCATTTAACTCCTTATTAATTCAGAGAAGGAAATGAAGTAAAAATATCAGCTACAGTAAACATTTTAAATTAGATATGTTACCATAAAATCATCAGATGTAATTGGATTTTTTTTAAATTTTTAGGTGTATTTATTACTAATACATTGTTTTACATATTATTTTTAGAATGACAACAATTCTGATGGTTTGGTAATGTTAACTGCCGCTTTAAATAACCTTCAACCAACACGTAATATCTTAACCAACGGAATGCCAAATGTTCAAGGCACAGTCGCTACACTTCTTCAAGTAGCTACACAGACAGCAACGCTTGGTGAAGAAACCGGTGCAGTATTGCCAACTGCCACCTTGAGGGATGTTAAAGCAACACAAGATCTCCCTTTAACCAACGGATTGGTTGTACAAGAAACAATCCAAACAAGAGGTCTAGAAGCTACTCAAACAATTGAAATACGAGGTGTGACGACCGCAACCGCGGATCTCTCTACCAATACTATGACGGAAAACCACGAAGGTACAACTGCTACACTTCACCAAGTAGCTACGCAGACAGCAACGCTTGGTGACGGAGCCGTTGCGGTATTGCCAACTGCTACCTTGGCGGATGTTAAAGCAACACGAGATTTCATTTCAACCGACGGATTGGCTGTGCAAGGAACAATGCAAACAAGAGGTCTAAAAGCCACTCAAACAATTGAAATACGAGGTGTGACCACCGCAACCGCGGATCTCTCTACCAATACTATGACGGAAAACCACGAAGGTACAACTGCTACACTTCTCCAAGTAGCTACGCAGACAGCAACGCTTTGTGGCGGAGCCGGTGCGGTATTGCCAACTGCTACCTTGGCGGATGTTAAAGCAACACGAGATCACCTTTTACCTGACGGATTGGCTGTACAAGGAACAATCCAAACAAGGGGTCTAGAAGCTAGCCAAACAATAGAAATACGAGTTGTGACGACCGCAACCGCGGATCTCTCTACCAATACCATGACAGAAAACCACGAAGGTACAACTGCTACACTTCTCCAAGTATCTACGCAGACAGCAACGCTTGGTGACGGAGCCGGTGCGGTATTGCCAACTGCTACCTTGGCTGATGTTAAAGCAACACGAGATCACCTTTTATCTGACGGATTGACTGTACAAGGAGCAATCCAAACAAGGGGTCTAGAAGCTAGCCAAACAATAGAAATACGAGGTGTGACGACCGCAACCGCGGATCTCTCTACCAATACTATGACGGAAAACCACGAAGGTACAACTGCTACACTTCTCCAGGTAGCTAAGCAGACAGCAACGCTTGGTGACGAAGCCGGTGTAGTATTTCCAACTGCCACCTTGGCGGATGTTAAAATAACACGAGATCTCCTTTTAACCGACGGATTGGTTGTACAAGGAACAATGCAAACAAGAGGTCTAGAAGCCACTCAAATAATTGAAACACAAGGTGTAACGACAGCAACCGTGGGTCTCTCTACCGATACCATGACAGAAATTCACAATGGTACAGCCGCTACACTTCTTCAAGTAGCTACGCAGAGAGCAACGCTTGGTGACGGAGCCGGTGCGGTATTGGCAACTGCTACTTTGGCGGATGTTAAAGCAACACGAGATCTTCTTTTAACTGACGGATTGACTGTACAGGGAACAATCAAAACAAGTGGTCTAGGAGGTTCTCAAACAATTGAAATACGAGGTGTGACGACCGCAACTGCGGATCTCTCTACTAATACTATGACGGAAAACCACGAAGGTACAACTGCTACACTTCTCCAAGTAGCTACGCAGACAGCAACGATTTGTGACGGAGCCGGGGCGGTATTTCCAACTGCTACCTTGGCGGATGTTAAAGCAACACAAGATTTAATTTCAACCGACGGATTGGCTGTGCAAGGAACAATGCAAACAAGAGGTCTAGAAGCTACTCAAACAATCGAAATACGAGGTGTGACGACCGCAACCGCGGATCTCTCTACCAATACTATGACGAAAAACCACGAAGGTACAACTGCTACACTTCTCCAAGTAGCTACGCAGACAGCAACTCTTGGTGACGGAGCCGGGGCGGTATTGGCAACTGCTACCTTGGTGGA